TGGTTAAACGCCCTAGCTTTATTGATTCAGCTAGCCAGATAACGACAAATTAAATCAAATTTATCTAAGCAAGAAATTTTCAGTAATGGTGGACTAAGGGAGTTAAGGAACACCTGTTATAGTCGACTACACACGAGCACTCAAGAATTTCATTTTTAGACCAATATTTTTTGCACTGCCTTCGTTAGAGGAGCCTACAAAGCTTGAACAAATGGAAGATTTCAGAGGACCGAAATAAAAGGTCTAGTAATTGATCATGCTAGTTGCGTCATTTTTTCCGCATCCAATTAAAATGCCAAGCCAAAGAAAAAAGCATGTTGCTCATATTTCAAAAAAATGACATTTTGGGTTACTAAAACCTTAGAAATGAGGCCAACCTAAATCCAACTTATCCATTTGAACATTTGTCAAAGAGAGATAACTCTGAAAGCATTAAAAGAGCTCTTGATTCCTTTGATATCCTTAGAACTCACGTTTACAATTTGATTCAATTGCGAACAATATTTTACAACATTTTTATCATTTTCCCTCCTAAAACAAGAAAAATGAAAAAAAAAACATTTTCAAACAGAACAATCTCAGATAAGAAGGGTATGTAAAGCCCAAGCTTGAAAAAAGGATGGGGCACGATCGATCCCATGGACCAGATTGGCAGACAAAACACGAGACTCTATCCAAGAGATAACACATAATTCATTCATATTGCATGCATCTTAGACATACTTAGGTGCATCGCATTCATCATTTTAGCATACATGATTTTTTACAGCTTTTTGAGTCAGGTTTCGACTTCAAGACGAAGGTTACTCGATTCAAAAGCACCTTTAAAGAACGATGGTAGTTGCTTAACTCAACACTGAGAAGCTACACCTCAACCGACTTGACATATATACTGATCTCAGAACCAATTCCAGATAGGTTTGAGAACCAATTCTGATCAAATCCAGTTCAACTCAACTCAACAATGAGCGGCATATTATAGTTAATATCTTCAAGCCAGATTTCAATTCCACAACGGAAGATATCCAGCTGTTAGAATTTATCAGTGGACTTTTTCATAAAAGAGGAGTCATTCAAAGATCGTCTCATTTGGTTCAGACTCGCTCAAAGGAACCACCTGAAGAACTATGACCGGCTTAGACCTGTGAAGGGAAACTATTTTTTTAAGACAACATTTGCAGCATAACTTAAATCGAGAAGGGTTATCTGCCAACCAAAGACCTTCGAGTTCGACTACGCTCAGCTCCAAGGCGCATCATTTGCAACATAACTTAAATCGATAAGGGTTATCTGTCACCAAATACCTTCGAGTTCGACTACGCTCAGCTCTAAGGCATATCATTTGCAGCACAACTTAAGTCTAGAAGGGTTGTCTGCCAACAAAAGACCTTTGAGTTCGACTACGCTCAGCTCAACGGCACATCATTTACAGCATAGCTTAAGTCGAGAAGGGCTATCTGCCAAAGACCCCCGAGTTCGATTACACTCAGTTTCGAGGGCATATCATTTACAACATAAGGCTAGAAGGGTTATATGTCACCAAAGACCTTCGAGTTCGACTACGCTCAGCTCCAAGACATATCATTTGCAGCACAACTTAAGTCTAGAAGGGTTGTCTGCCAACAAAAGACCTTTGAGTTCGACTACGCTCAGCTCAACGGCACATCATTTGCAGTATAGCTTAAGTCAGAAGGGTTATCTGTCAAAGGCCCTCGAGTTCGATTACAGTCAGCTTCGAGGGCATATCATTTGCTGCACAACTTAAGTCTAGAAGGGTTGTCTGCCAACAAAAGACCTTTGAGTTCGACTACGCTCAGCTCAACGACACATCATTTGTAGCATAGCTTAAGTCGAGAAGGGCTATCTGCCAAAGACCCCCAAGTTCGATTACACTCAGCTTCGAGGGCATATCATTTACAGCATAACTCAAGGCTAGAAGGGTTATCTGTCACCAAAAGACCTTCGAGTTCGACTACGCTAAGCTCCAAGGCATATCATTTGCAGCATAACTTAAATCGAGAAGGGTTATCTGCCAACCAAAGACCTTCAAGTTCGACTACGCTCAGCTCCAAGACACATCATTTGCAGTATAGCTTAAGTCGAGAAGGGCTATCTGCCAAAGACCCTCGAGTTCGATTACACTTAGCTTCGAGGGCACATCATTTATAGTATAACTCAAGGCTAGAAGGGTTATCTGTCTCCAAAAGACCTTTGAATTCGACTACGCTTAGCTCAATGGCACATCATTTGCAGCATAGTTTAAGTCGAGAAGGGCTATCTGCCAAAGACCTTCGAGTTCGATTATACTCAGCTTCAAGGCATATCATTTACAACATAACTCAAGGCAAGAAGGGCTATCTGTCAATAAAATTATTGAGTTTGATTCCATTCAGCTCGATGACACACATCATTCACACTATTTGTCGGTCGCAGTCGAGGTTTTCAAGTCGAGAAGAAAACCTGGGTTTGCCCTAGTGACAAGAAACAGTTTCCCGGCAGAATAACTTAAGTCGAGAAAAGTTATCTGTCAATGAAAACTTTTGAGTTCAATGGCCTATCAACCACATGGTGGAGTCAAAGAACTATTTTTCAGTCGTATTTTTTAAACCAAGGTCTTTAAACCGAGAAGAAGACCGAGGTTGACTACAATTGGGCAACAAGAAGCCGCATCCCGATTCAAATCTCGAACTACGACTTCAATTCCGTATCATTTCAAGGTGGACTCGACTTCACGACGGAGGAGCCATCTGCAACTCAATTCGACAGGGAGTTATTCTTCAACTCTACCGAACGAAAATTTGTGTCTTTTTATCTGTCCTATTTTTCGTTTCACGAAAAAGGATAAAGAGGGGTAATTGTAAACACTCATTTTCGTCCCATTTATATATATATATATATTTTAAAAACACTTTTAAAACATATATATAATATATAGTTTTGAAATCATTTTGAAAATATAATATATAATTTTTAAAAACATTTTTGAAAATTTATATAATATATAGATTTAACAAAACATTTTTGGAAAACTTATATAATATTTTTAAAATCATTTTTGAAAACTATATAATATATAATTTTGAAAACGTTTTTAAATATAATATATAGTTTAAAATATTTTTTTGAAACATATATATTATATAATATATATTATTATTAATATTTATTTCATTTCATTTTATTAATTTAATTTATTATTATTTTTGTCAGGGTCCAAACGGGGTCCAAAAATGAAGACTGGGCCTGAACCAGCCCAGCAGCATGTTAGGTTTCATATCCAATTTCAACCAAGGTGCCGCACGACCCGGGAAACCAAGAGCCACGCGAAACAGACGGGCAACAGTGCCAACGACGGCCGAGATCCCCGGGACTGACCCATCCCGGGGTGACCGGTCACGAGCGCCCCTATTTCAGGACCACAACAGCCGGTGAAGGCCTATAAATACCAACCAGAACACTGCCAGAGGGGGGACACCACTGTCAGCACAACCACAAAGCCACGGCCACAGGAAAAAACGAGAACCATCAACCATCATCACGAACAGAACCCACGGTAACAACAAGCCAAACAGAGAGACCCAAAAGGCCATGAACCCATATCAGCAATAAACAAAAGTCGAACCAACACAACACAGAACAAAGAGAAAACATCATCAAGAGCCAAACCAAACACAAAGCAAACCAGTGAGTGATAAATACGCAAGAAATCAAGCCGAAAATAACGAAGAGTCGGCAACAAACCACACAAAAAGCATCAAAAAGAAACCCGATCTAGACTCGAGAAAGAGGAGACCTTTAAAGTGAAGGTAACTGTCAAAAAGCCATCTCATTTTCTTTGTTTTGTCTAGGTTTTGGTGGATTTCACTTTAGTTCGAGGTATGGCTTAAGAAAGTAAGAAAGTTGTTTGAGAGGCCTTCGTTCCTTTCTCATCGCCAACTCAAGGTGGTCGGGAAATGGAGTCTCAGTCCACGGTGTGCTCTGAGTTGAAAGAAAAGAAAAGGAAATGAAAATGGTGTTTGGAGAGAAGAGGGAAACGGCTGTGGAGAAGGAAGGTTAACAATAATATATTTTAGGGTTTTATCTTTTAACCTGTATGCTGTTTTTTATTATTACTTGGCTTATTCAATAAGGATCCCACCGGTTTTTACTTGTAAATTACACATATGGTTAATTACACTAAAATATGTATTAGTATGTTGCGTGCTATGTTTGTATATTATATTTAATATTTAAACATTTTTTATTTATTTATTTTGTTTTCATATTTATTCAAAAAAAATTCTTTTGATCTATTTTTTTATTGATTTATTTTTGTTTTCCTATTTATTTAATTTTTTTTTTGATCTATTTTTATTTTTTTCCTTTTGATTTATTTTATTTATTATTATTATTTTTCCCTTTGATTTATTTAATATTTGTTATCTAACATTTTACCTTTTCTTTAGAGAAAATCCATCAAATAAGAGGTAAGTAATTTGAATCGAGTTTAATTTCAATTTCAATTTTTAATTTTCGCAATTAAAGAAAACCGACAAATTAATTGGTACCGAAAGGGAGGTTCAAGGGTGCTAATCATTCATTGACCGTAACCGACTCCCGAGCCCGACACAATTCTGGTAAGACGAAGATCAAGTAAGATGGTATCCGATCTACCTAAATATTGTTTTAAAATGATCGGTGGTGACTCTAACCACAATTTTCAAGTCGAAGCTCAATTCCGGAGTACAAGCGAAAGACGATTCCGACAGCTAACTAATTATTTTCATTCAGTAAGAGATCTCTTTACACTAAAATAAAATGTTATGGATTAAAATATTCAACAAAAGGAATATAACTTGAAATGATTATTAATCAATGGTTATATACATATTTTAACATTATGCATTATTTATAACTAAACCAAAACTAATCACGAGACAACTTGAACAATACATAAGCCAAACGTGAGTCGTGAGTCAATAACATCAAAGGACAATTAACTGGCTTTATCAACCGAGAGCATGGAAGATATTAAACCCTTGACCAACACTGCGAAAACAAAACTACAACAAGCATCGGTCTTGTGGGCGGAAGGTTTCAGAGAATCATGTTGCCTTCACAGAGTTGTCATTCTTTGCTGCAGGTTTCTTCCATTTCTTTCTTTTTTTCAGCAACTATTCTCCTTTAGTTTACTTTTTTCCCAGTAACCCAAAGCTCTCTTCTTTATAAAATTTCATTATTTTATTTGCAGGTCGAGAAAACTTTCGATAAGAACTGGACAGTGTTTTCTTTTAAATGGCTTCATTTTCTTAGGAAGGTAATTCCTTTCGCTGATTCTTTTTGTTGGGGAGTTATTTGTACTTTTGCTTGTTTTTATTTTGATTATTTTCGACACTGTTTCTTCTTATTCCTTCATGCCAGTTTGTTTTTCCTAAACTCGGTTGTTATCCCAATACTACACTGGATATTGCCCGATCAAAGGTCTCTGATCAGTTGCGAAGAAATACCTGCCTTTGATGGTGTCTTCAAATTGTATGCCTTCTTGCGTGGTTTTCTCATTCAATTATTTTATGTAAGTGGTTCCATTCATATAATGTGAAATGTTCGATTTTATGGCATTCACTTTGTTTTCTGCGTTAGTTCTTGTATCGATATGTAATTTTCGTATCGGTTCAGTACTTTCGAATGCCAGTTTCGGCTTTCATTTCTAATTTGTCTAACCAAAAAAGCATTTTTATAGCCTTTGTCGCATTCAGATTTTGGATAAACTTCAGGTCTTCATGTTTGGTTTAATGGAATATCAGTGATTTGTGTTTGATGCAAATATCCAACTTGGTTACCACACCTCTCTCCTGCAAATCCATCTGCTTTTCCGATTTATCGTGTCTGTGGTTGTTGATACTTCGACCACTATCACCTCCACGATAACAATTTAGATACATTATCCCGGCCACTATTAGCATTGGTTCTAGAATTGCATGCTATCGGTACAACCAGCATAACCGGCACAGATGTCCCATTCTCCGAACTCCGTTGTCCATTAATCTAAGTCGCAGCATTGGCATCATTGTCTTTTCTCCTTACGTCGCTGCAGCTTCTATTAGTCTTATTCATGCATAAGGACTCTAAGTTTAATACCAGGCATTGACTCATTGCTGAGAAGATAGCTTTTCCTGAGCAATGCGTGTGATATTTCGAAAGGGTTTTAGACATGAGGCAATATTTATTTTTCCTTACGGTTTTTGTTTCGTTATGAAATGTTAACTTCATCGAACCATGTTCCGTTACTTGTTTATCATCTCCAGGTGTTTTGGTTCTATCCGTTGTATGTCTTCAGCCATATTCTGAGCAATCTCTGGTACTTTCATTCTCTCTTGTGCTGGTTTCTTTCTCCGTTATGACATATCGAACTGATTACTATAGCTATTGTTTAACTAATTTTGGTTGAACATCTTTTTCTTGGGAAGTTTATTATCCGAATTCTTGCAATGAAGACCTTTCTTTTTTATGTGATCCAGGTACAACGATATTGCTAGGCATGGTTTTTCGGCAATGGGAAGATCCGGGCCTTCTGTAACGGAATCCTCGAAAATCGATGCATTGACCTTGAACAACAAAGTGAATGCAACCGGACCTGCTGGCCTCAGACGGTACCACTGACCGTTGGCATTACTCTTATCGAACAATGTATCTCACAGAGATGGACAAATCTGATTCTTTGTTTTCCTGCAGGGTCATGATTGGTATCGGAGAGCAAGTATATTCCTTGCTTCTTTTGGGTTTCTTTTTCTTAGAGGTGAACTTCTTTCGTCGCTTTAATGAGTTCCTGTTGCATCTTTCTTTTTGTTTATAGATTCATTTATTATTGGTATGTCTTGACCGCCTTTCCGATCTTTAGAATTTAGTTTCCGCTTTCCCGAATGTTTCGATGTCTCGCAGTCTCGGTGTGCATGTCTTTCAGTTTGTTCTTAGTGCAACCGGCATGATAAGATAGCAGTTTAACTATCTATGAAAACAAGAAAGAAACTGAAAGATCTTGTAATCTTTTTATTATCAAGAAGCTGATCTCTCTTGAATTAGAGAGCAGTATTTATACAGTCAATAAGGAAAGTATATGCTGCTATAAAGAACGGTTAACAGCTCAACAAACTAACTGCTACAATCTAACAAACTATTCTAGAACAACATTATTCTAGAACTCACAACATATCCACAATCACAAGCACATGTTAACATTCACCCTGCTTTATTAACTTCTTCAGCACTTCTTGACTCAATATCCCCCTGCCATTCCACTTTGTAAACCTGCAGGAAGCCTCTTAGCTGTGTTACCAAGATTTTTGCCTATGCTTGAGAAATGAGGCGAAGACAGTGGTTGTCAACACATCTGCCCCTGCTCATAGGCTGGAACCTCATTAACCTGTAAACGACCATCAGCAACCATTCGCGTACAAAAAATAAGTCAAGCTCAACATGCTTGAATTAGAATGCTGAACGGGATTGGAACAGACTGCAACAGTGCTGGAATTATCACACCACAAGGTAGCTTTACCATGGAACCACGCACAACTCCTGAAGCAATGACTCAATCAAACATCTCAGCAGCTGCAGCAGCAACACTCCTATATTCAGCTTCAGCCGTGGAACGAGAAACAACTTGTTGCTTGCGTGAGCTCCTTGTTGCTTGCGTGAGCTCCAGGAAATAAGATTCCCACCAAAGAAATGCAGTAGCCAGTCGTGGAACGTCTATCATCAGGATCGGACCCCAGTCTGCATCTGCAAAACCAGTCAGAGACATGCGAGAAGATGCTGTGAATCGAAGACCATAGTCGTCGTCCCTTGAATATAACGTAAAATCCTCTTAACAGCCTGAAAATGGCTATTACGAGGTGACTGCATGAACTGGCAGACCTTGTTTACAGCAAACGCAATGTCTGGCCTAGTAACCACAATACTGAAGCACCAACAATGCTCCTGTATTGAGCCATATCTTCAACAGGTTCCCCAGCATCAGCTGACAACTTACAATTAGAAACCATCGGAGTAGGGAGACTCTTTGCCTCATTAAAACCGTGCTTATGCAACAACTCATGAATATATTTTTGTTGAGTCAGGACAACACCATCAGCATCATGACACACCTCTATACCAAGAAAGAAATTAAGAGAACCAAGGTCCTTCAACGCAAAACGAGTGTTCAGTTTTTCAATAACACACTGAACCTCACTGGCATCACTCCCTGTCAAGATAATATCATCTACATATACAAGCATGTAGACAACACTATTTTCTGACTTTCTAACAAACAAAGAAGAATCAGATTTAGATAAACCGAACCTTTCAGAGACCAGATACTCTCGAGGCTCTCAAACCAGGCCCGAGGAGCTTGCTTCAAGCCATAGATTGCTTTTATGAAGCTTGCAAACTAAACTACCACCAGCTTGCACAAATCCAGAGGTTGAGTCATGTAAACCTCTTCCTCAATGCCCCGTTTAAAAATGCATTATTAATATCCACTTGACGCAGCAACCAACCTCTTGTCAAGCAAGAGTAAGAATCACTCGGACCGTTACAGGTTTCACAACCGGACTAAACCTCATGATAATCAATTCCTGGTTGTTGGAGAAACCCCTTCGCAACAAGACGAGCCTTGTATCGAGACACCGAGCCATCAGCATTACGTTTCACCTTAAAGATCCATTTGCAGTTGACGGGTACACGATCTTTAGGAAGAGAGACCAGAGACCACGTCTTATTTGCAATCAAGGCATCAAATTCCTCTTGTGCAGCTTTCTTCCAATGAGGAATCTTCATAGCCTCTCTAATTGATCGAGGTTCTTCATCAAGACATTCAACATGCAGAACACGAGGTTTCCAAATACCATCTTTGGCCCTGTAACCATAGGATGTATATTTTGAACCAGAACAGGCTCATGTGCACTGTCACCCGTTGAAGAAGTCCCACGCACATTGTCACGGTCGGCCATTGCTCCAAAAGACGTGACCCCATGCGCAACATCATGGTCGAGTGGTGCATTATCAAACAAAACGGTCCCATGGCTATCATCATCATGCGCAAAAGATATGTCCCCAATAATATTATTTCTTGGATTATGAGTACCTGTCCCAACAATATTATAATTGGGTGTGGCTCCATGCGTATTATCACAAGTAGCACGCACATGCACATTATCTAAACCTTGACCCTCGACACTAGGCATCTCGGCAAAAGGTGTGGTCCCAAGCGTTGAAAACAAAGGCGCAGCACGTGGGCTGATTGTATGGAAAGGAGCAAATGTTGAATTCAATGGGCCATGCGTTGAATTCAAAGGAGGACCACGCATCGAAGTTAATGGAGAAGCACATGGGACTGCTTTCACTTAGTGGAGGTAGGCGTGACATGTTGGTGGAGCCGTTGGAGCATGCGCATTGTCACGACTTAGCAGCGTGGTCCCATGCGCGTTTTCAAAAGCTATAGCCCCATGCGCACCTGACCCAACTAAATGCCTTCATTCGCATTACCAAAATCACGTTCACCCAACACTTGGTTCTCGACCATTTCAAAGGTGTGGCCCCATTTATGCCTTTGACTATTTGATGAGTCATGTGTTGATGGAGAAGCACATGGTGGAACACACGTTGATGGAGCAGGCACTGGTGGAACGCACGTTGATGGGACTTGCAGTGTCTGTACAGGAGAGACAAGAGGAATAATACCCGTGGAGACACCATTATCTGGAGCAACACCTGAAACTTACAAACTTCATAAGGAAATACACTTTCATCAAAAACATGCCTCGAAATTATTACTCTGCCAGAGTCATCCAAACATTTATATCCCTTATGAGCAGTGCTATATCCCAGAAACACGCACTTCTTTGATCTGAAATCCAGCTTATGTCGATTAAACAAACGCAAGCAAGGATAGCAAGCACAGCCAAACACCCTGAGAAAAGAGTTAATCTGGCAAGACATGATGCAGAGCTTCAAATGGAGACTTCCCATGTAAAACAGGTGTGGGCAATCTATTGATAAGATAAACGGCGAAGCAAAAGCATAGCTCCAAAATTTCTGAGGTAAAGAAGCCTGAGCTAACATTGTCAATCCTGTTCTACAATGTGTCTATGCTTCCTCTCAGCCTTACCATTCTGCTCCGAGGTGCCAGGGCACGAGAGACGATGTTGCACCCCATTGGCAGAGAACCACTTTCGAAGTGGTTGATATTCCCCACCACCATCAGTTTGGAGAGCTTTAATTTTGTATCCAAACTGCACTTCAACCAATTTCGCAAAGTCAAGAAAGCACTGAGTCACCTCAGATTTACGCTTCAAGATACATCCAGGTATAACGACTACAAACATCAACAAAAGAAACATAATAAAGAATCCCTCAGTGGAGCACACAGGAGCTGGTCCCCAGACATCAGAGACAACAAGTTGAAAGGCTCATTATATTGAGTGAAAGATTTACAAAAGGGCAACTTATGAGACTTCCCTTGCATACAGCAGAACACATTCACTGCTTCAGTTTTATTGAAAACAAGACTACACGACTTCAAACATGCTGAACAATATCAAGAGATGGATGGCCAAGACGCTGCACAACTTCAAGGACACAGGTGATTTCGAGACATTATTCACCAAACAAGAAGACCTCTGATCCTCACAAGGCAGCAGCTATACAGCCCGTCACCCGTGAGCCTCCCGCGAAGTAGAGTTGCTTGAGTCCGAGCATCCTTCACAAGACATTCAGAGGGATGAAACTCCATGAACACACCATTATCACGAGTGAACTGAGAAACAGATAGCAACTTTTTCTTTATGTTAGGCACATGCAACATATTCTGCAAAATCAAAGGTTTCTTACTAGAACTCAAAAAACCTTGGCCTACATGCATGATTGAATTCCCTCACCATTACCCATGAGCAAGGAACTACCTCCAGTATAGGTGGTACCTGATTGAAAAACAGACAAATCATTCGTTACATGGTGAGTAGCTCCGGTGTCAGGGTACCACAAAGAATCCACAGGCACTGAGGAGCTAGAGCCCGAGGGAGTTGGGACAGTAGCAATATAGGCTGCTGAACCAGGTGTCAAGAGGAATGCGATGCACCATGAGAGAAGTGAGAAGCATCTGGAGGAAAACCAGGAGAAGTACCAGGAAAGGGAAAGTGCACAGGAGCATACGGCGAAGGAAAATAAAACGGTGTGGGAACAAAGGATGAAGGTGGAGGCATGGAGGTTACGGTGTGAGCATAAGTTTGTCCACCAGATTGCTGATGTTTAGCAGAATTCCCAGCACCAGTGGGCTTTGAGCCATTCTCTTGCATCGACTCAGACCCGGACACACCAGTGTAGTCTCTATCAAACCGATGATAACACTTCTGGACCACATGTCCAAACCGGCCACACAACTGGCATTGAGGACGATTATTATTACGCCCTCGACCTCGACCACGATATCCATTCGACTGTCCACGAGACGAATGATCCTGTGATGAACCAGTATTAACATCCTGAGTTCCACAAGAGTCAGTTTCAACAGCAGCACCTTCCCGAGATTGAAGAACAAGATTTACAGAAAAGTTTTCACTCAAGAACAAACCGGCACAGATGTCCATTCTCCGAACTCCGTTGTCCATTAATCTAAGTCGCAGCATTGGCATCATTGTCTTTTCTCCTTACGTCGCTGCAGCTTCTATTAGTCTTATTCATGCATAAGGACTCTAAGTTTAATACCAGGCATTGACTCATTGCTGAGAAGATAGCTTTTCCTGAGCAATGCGTGTGATATTCGAAAGGGTTTTAGATGAGGCAATATTTATTTTTCTTACGGTTTTTGTTTCGTTATGAAATGTAACTTCATCGAACCATGTTCGTTACTTGTTTATCATCTCCAGGTGTTTTGGTTCTATCCGTTGTATGTCTTCAGCCATATTCTGAGCAATCTCTGGTACTTCATTCTCTCTTGTGCTGGTTTCTTTCGTTATGACA